CCGCGCCGCCCCACGGGGGCCTCCCCAGCCGGCAGATTTACGGCCGAGGTACCTGCTCGGATATTTATAACCACCCTTTTTTGTTTTACAGCCGGGGCTCAGCAAACAGCCCTCCCCCCTCCCCGGTGCTCCCTCCGCCTCCCCTTCCCCATTTCCTCTGAAACATTTCATCATTTCAAGGGGAATAAAGTTTCCAGCGAGGGGAAACGCAAACTCGCTCCCCGGGCCATGGGCTTTGAAATTGTACGCGGTGCGTTTGATGGGCTGCCGGGACAGGCCCCTGGTCCAGGTTCCCTTCAGATCACACCACGCGGCAGGAAGCACGATCAGCCCCTTTGAATGACAGTTTCATTAGGCCATGGCCGGTGTTTTTCATTTTTCCGCTTTTTATTGCTGCTTTTAAAAATGCAGATAATGAATAACATGCCTCTGAGCAAAGCAGGGCCAGCCCTAATGGCTCCCAACATGTCTGCAGGCTCGAGGGGGAGGGGGAGATGGGAGGGGAGGCCAATGACCTTATATATTTATATTTATGCTCAAAGAGCAGCCTTTTTTCTTTTTTTTTTCTTTTTTTTTTCTTTTTTTTAAAAAAGCACGTAAAATCACCCTCCAGCAGCCCAGGATGCAGCGCCCATGAGGAGATGCAAACTGGGCTGTCGCGGTTGATGCAGATTTTGGCTTTCTGGGAAGATTTGCAAGCCAGGGCATCACTGCAGCTCCCTCCTGCCGATATTTGGGGTGCAGCGAGGCCGTCGCCGTTTTCCCCGCTTGCGGCGAGCATCGGTGGAGCGGGAGGCGGTGGATGGGGAGGAAATATGATTAGATGGAGAAGGAAACTAAACCCAGCTCAAGTTTTATGGCCAATTTCCTGACCTGCGCCCGGCACTACCGATGCTCCCCAGCTTTGTGAAGCTGACGGTGCTGGGAGCGGTGCCGGGAGCGGGGCTGCGCCAGACCCCGCTGCCGGGTCAATGCTGGGAACACCAGAGCGAAGGGACCGCGGCGTAGGAGGGCTCTGGGGAGGGGAAAGCAGGGCACGGGGACGCGAGGCGGGTGGCCGTGAGCATGCCATACATGCTCCTCCATGCACATCAACCTCCCCGAGGAGGACGCGGTCCCTGCAGAGCCTCGGCATCCCGTGTCCCAGCTGCTGAATCCCTGCCCTCAGCCTGAGCCCCTCGGGACAGCGCAGGCACAGCCGGGGGCTGCGTTTCTCCTCTTCTCCCCTTCCACCGTCCTCCCCTCTGCACGGACCCGGCGTTGTTTCTCATTAAGCGGGGATGCGCTCGTCTCCACTCGGTCGTGCGGGTGATGGGCTCCATGTGCCCCGAGTACCCCAGCCCCACGCTCGCCCGGGGGCTCTCCGGCTTCGGTCCAGCACTGCCACGGGGCTCTGTCCCCACACGGGAGCAAAAAGAAGTGCTGAGGTGCCTTGCCCCCTCCCCAAACTGACTGGGATGAAGGAGGGACATCTCCCAGCCATGGATGGGTGGTGCCAGGCAGAGTTACCTTTGCAGGGCAAAGCTCAAGCTAATTTTTTGAGGCAATCCCCAAAAGTGATCCCTGGGTGTTTTAGCACCGACTTTGGGGTCTGCAGCTTTGCCCAGGCTGCTCTCAGCCCCTTCTTGGGCATTTGTGTCCCCCCCCAGGCTCCCACATGCTCCCTCGGGTGCTCAGCACCCCGGGGCTGTGCCGTGCCTTGCCCAGGGCTCCCTGCGCCCGGGTGCACCGATGCAGAGGTGAGGCTGAGCAGCCCAAGCACACCAAAAATTTGGGTTCCCCGCCGGCTTGGCTGGCTTCACCACTAAATCCAAGTGGTGCAAGTGCCACCGGCGGGACACGGTCACCTTCCCGAAGCCCATGGCCACACAGTGTCCGTATGGCTCCTCTCAGGGATTGCAACCCGCCCTGGCACATGCTGGTTTTGCTCTGGCGAGGACGAGGACCCGATTCCCCAGACTAACGGGCTGCACTAACGCTCCTCGTAACGCGCTTCCTCCCTCTCGCTTGGGGCTCCAGCCAGCACGATGCAGAGCGTGAAACCGGAGGGGGTTTGGAGAGGCTGCGGGGCACGGGATGCTTCGGACAGGGTGATGGAGGAGTCGATAGCACTGGACCCAAACCTTGGGTTTTGGCTCTTTTGGGAGGTGGGGGGAGAAAAAACCCAGAGGGACAATATCTGCCAGGCTGGAAAGGCAGCGGAGTCGAACCCACTGACGTGTGACACCAACCGAGCTCCTTGCTGGACACTGTTTCTAAATCACTTTTTTATAATGTTAAACAGGGGAGAGACACTTCCAGCAACACGTTATCCTTGAGACGTTTTCTAATGGTAAATATTTTTGTTCTCTCTATCTCTACGAAGGGGTCTAACTGTAGACGGTCTCTCATCTCGAGATCATAACCGGGCTCGGGGGGCTGAGCTTGTCGCGCTAACCGCATGCCTCACTAACCCTGTCCCCCGCTGCTGCTTTTAAACCCCGCAGAGCAAGCCTGGCCTCAGGCTGCAGGCGGACTTTGCTTTTGGGGACAGAGGAAAAAACCCTTCCCTGGCTGCGCTTGCATGAGGCGGGGGCTCTCGCGTTGCTTTGGTCGATCCAGCCCGGTGCAGGGGGTGATAATCCGCTTTCCAGTGGCTGGGGGGGGGGTTATCCCCCCCCAACCGCCACCAAGCAAGCCCGAGAGGAGCTAGCGGTGGGCTGCCGGTGGCTGCGTGATGGGGAGGGGGATGCTCGTGCCCGTCTCTGTGGCTGTGCACTCCCAAAGCTACCCCTTCCCGGAGCCCACCCAGTCGCGTACAGTCCCCTTTGCGGATGCGGGGACATTCAGGGTGTCCCAGGGTTTGGCCCGGCAAAGCTGCTAACCATGCTCAGAGGCACCCAGCCCAGAGCTGCAGCAAATTGCAGAGCTGCAATGACCTTTTATCGGGCTGGGCACCTCAGCTGCTTCCCCGAGGATTTCTTTGCAACCCCCGTCGGGTCTCTAAGCCCTTCATGAAGGTAAGGCGACGCCTCTGCTCCGCCAACAAGGAAACCGAGGCAGTCTGAAGGTGCAGCGACTTGTCTGCGGTGGGGAATCTTGTTCATGGATGTGCTGGGTGCATGCAAACTCCTGGCACATCCAGGAGGAGCTGTGGGTGTGCAGCTCACTAGGGGCAGGGAGCACCGACCTTTAATTATTTTTTAAAAAAGTTTTTGTGAGTTTATTTCCATAAAACAAAGACATATTGGAATTTATTAAAGCCAGCAATGAGTACCATTTATATAATACACCAAATGGCTGAGGATATTAGAAAAAACATATTTCATTTAAAAAAAAAAAATTAAAGCAAAGGTGGTTTGTCTACGCTTTCCAGGTGGTAATGGTTATCCCCCCCCCCCC